CTGTATTTTCCAAAGCCTGGTCTCGCCTGATAACATGTCCCAAGCCCATGAGATGAAGTCTCACCATCCTTGCATTTAAAGCGCGGTGCTCGTTCCAAGACAGATTTGCTGCTGCTTCGGGCAGTCTTTGGTACTTTCAGCATTCCTCACCAGCACCATCATCCAAAGGTATCGACTCATCTTTGGCCCTCCTTCTTCACTGTCCAACTTTCACAGGCATATGAGGTGACTGAAAATGGTATGGCTTGGGTGAAGAGCACCCTTGCTCTTCCACATTTGAAGAAAATATCAGGAGGAGGGATTCATTGCTGGAGGTGGGCATCATTTCTGGTGATGGAGAAGGGCAGTGAGTGCGGGAGACCTTCGACGAGATGGATTGGCATAATTGTTGCAATGATGGACCCAAACAGGGTGGCCGTCGGGAGGATGATACAGGATCGGCAATATTTTATTCTGCTATGCCTAAGGTAAGGTGACCAGATTTAAAGTGGGACACCATTGACCAGGGTGGTGGTGGTGGTGGTGTTCTTATTAAAAATTTGGTCTATATGGACCAAATAGACCGTTCCCTAGCTTGTCGTGCATTCTTTCAAAAAATAGGGACTTTTTTAAGATGCCAAAAATTGGGACTGTCTCATCAAAAGTGGGACGTCTGGTCACCTTAGCTAAGGCCCCCATAGGTCAGAGTTAAATCGATGATAGCTATCTGTCTGTCTATCTATCTATCTATCTATCTATCTATCTATCTATCTATCTATCTATCATCTATCTATAAATCATCAAAGAAGCTAAAACTAAGCACTATTTCATGCACAGTGAACAAGTGTCAAACGGAATGTTACCAATAAGAGAGATATAAAGCCTGAGTTAGAGATAAAAACTTTAATTAAAAAAAAACATTAGGCAATAGAATGTGACCCCTGTGAATGTTTTAGCCAGGGACCAGTCCTGAGGGTGGAGGCAGACTAGCTGCCTCCTTGAGGTATTGAAGCTCTGGGGAGCCCAGAGAGAACTGAGGGAGTAAAGACTTGGTAGCGTAGAGTCCCATCAGGTATAGATGCTTGGCCAGCTCATCCCAGTAAGAGCAATTGCCCCCTTGACCTCCCGGTCTCCAGTTTAGAGGAATGATTGTTGATAAGTGCTGTGGAATTGGGTACATGTCATCCAGCTATTGACTGCAGTTACATCCCTTCTCTATTTGTTTTTAGACATGATCACAAAGCCATCTATGTTCTCTGAATAAGTTCCTTTGTGAATATCCCAAACCACCAACTCATGCTAAATATATCAGCCCATTGTGGCAAAGGGCTACTTTTATGAAAAAGTGTAACTAGACCTTGATATTAAAGAGAAATCTAAAAAAAATTCCCACGACATGTATAAGCATGATGTGACAATCCTCCACCCTCTTCTTCCTCTTGTCGGATAGTATCTTCCTAGTCACCACAGCTAACACCTGTCTACCCTCTAGCTTATTGCTTCTCCTCTCCTCCCTTCCCCTACTAGCCATCTGAGTCTACTGCTTTTGGTATGAGACTTTATCATGATTTTTCTCTTGCCTAACAGTGGACTCATACAAAATTATTCTTTTGCAATGGACTAACTTCACTGAGCATAACGTCCTCTAGATCCACCCATGTCACAAGGTGTTTCACAGTTCCATCATTATTCTTTAGTGACACATAGTCCTCCATTGAGTGTATGTACCAACACTATTTATCCATTCTTCATTGATGGACACCGAGGTTGTCTGCCATCAATGCCGGTGGAAGGCGACAGCTCATTGCTGTGTGGATTTGCATCTCTTGGATGGCGAGGGATCTCAAGCAGTTCCTCAGATGTTTGCTGAGCACCTGGGTATCTTCTTTGGTGAACTGTCTGTGGAAACTTTTTGTTAAATTTTGTAGCAGGGTGTCTCTTTATTCTTCATTTGGTGTACACCAAGGTTATGGCAAAGAACAAAGACGACTTGGATGACTTGGGGGCTCCAGACCCAGACCATGGTCTTTCCCAATGCATGGGAAAGCTGGACAATGAGAAAGGATGGGGTGGAAGAAGGCAGTAGAAGGAAGGAGGGAGGGAAGGAAGGAAGGAGGGAAGGAAGGAAAGAAGAATGATCGGTGTCTTTGAATCGTGGTGCCGGCAAAGCAGATGGCTTATATTGCATACCGCTGAAAGAACAAACGAAGCAGCTTTAGGAGAAATACAATCAGAGTGTTCCTTAGAAACAGGGGTGGTGAGACGACTGCTCTCCTACATTGGACATCATCAGGGAGGGACATCATGGGTGGTCAGGCAGGAGGTCAGTGAAAATGAGGGAAACCTTCCATGAGCTATATCGGCACAAAAGCCTCAATAATGGGCTCGAAGGTACCGATGATCAGGAAGACCGTGCAGGACTGAGCAATGCTTTGGTCGAGGCCTCCAGAAGGTTGCTACAAGTCAAAGCTCAGTCAATAGCTATTGCCACCACCACCACCACCACCAAGGATTTGTATTGGGCAGGGAAGGAGGAATGGTGTGCTCCGTTAAATAAATATTTCTGAGCTGAGTCTCAAAGGAATGTGGCAGAGATTGTAGCTGTTTGGGGGCTCCCACTGGTGGAGAAAGAAACACAGACGGTGAGGAGCAGGACCCTGAACAGCCCGAGGGCCACTTGCCTCTTTGAAAACCTGATTAAAACTTAGGTCTCCCCTTTTCCATACAAAGTTCACACATGCGGCATTCCCAACCCTCTTTCTGGGGTGAGCTATTTTGTGGTCTTGTTGAAGCCCATCCAGGGTTCATCTAGGGCTCACTAGACCAAACCTGTTGCCAGCACATTGAATCTAAATCATGGTGACCCCACTTCAAAGTGGAACTGCTCTGGAGGGGTTTCTTGGCTCTCTTGGCCTTTCCTTTGGGCCATTGTTGGGTGGACTTGAATTGCTCACCATTTGTACTACCCAGGACTTGGCTTAGATGGCAAGTTCAACAATGATAGCTCCCATGCCATTAACCCTCCAATATACATCAGCCTTCAGCAGCCCTGACTTATTGCAAGCTCTCTCTTATTTAATAAGAGTCTATTAAATTGGCATTCTATGATGCTCACCTTCCCGACACAACCGCTGAAGACAAATGGGTGCATAAACAAATGTGGTGAAGAAAGCTGATGGTGCCCGGCTATCAAAAGATATAGCGTCTGTGGTCTTAAAGGCTTGAAGGTTAACAAGCGGCCATCTAGCTCAGAAGCAACAAGGCCCACATGGAAGAAGCACACCAGCCTGTGAGATCACAAGGTGTCGAAGGGATCAGATATCAGGCATCATCAGAACAAAAAATCTTACCATAGCAAATGAGGGGTGGGTGAGTGCAGAGTGGAGACCCAAAGCCCACTTGTTGGCCACTGGAGAGCCCCTTGCAGAGGGGTCTCAGGGAGGAGATGAGCCAGACAGGGTGTGATGTAGCAACGATGAAAAAATACAACTTTCCTCTAGTTCCTAAATGCTTCCTCCGCCCCCCACTATCATGATCCCAATTCTACCTTGCAAATCTGGCTAGACCAGAGGATGTACACTGGTACAGATAGGAACAGGAAACACAGGGAATCCAGGGCGGATGATCCCTTCAGGACCAGTGGTATGAGTGGTGATACTGGGAGCATAGAGGGAGAGTGGGTTGGAAAGGGGGAACTGATTACAAGGATCTGCATGTGACCTCCTCCTTGGGGGACGGACAACAAAAAAGTGGGTGAAGGGAGACGTCGGACAGGGCAAGATATGACAAAACAACAATTTATAAATTATCAAGGGTTCATGAGGGAAAGGGGAGCGGGGAGGGAGGGGAAAAAAAAGAGGACCTGATGCCAGGGGCTTAAGTGGAGAGCAATGTTTTGAGAATGATGAGGGCAATGAATGTACAAATGTGCTTTACACAATTGATGTATGTGTGGATTGTGATAAGAGTTGTATGAGCCCCTAATAAAATGATTTTTTAAAAAAGAGTCTGTTGAATGAATAGCTAATTGAGTGAAATCAGAGGAGGTTTGTGGAGACGCCAGACCTTACAGACTGTGGTCCAAAGTAGATGATGATGGTGTAACAAACATATGACTTTCCTCTTCCGTTTCCTCTCCACCCACGAAGCTGGAACACTGGCTCATGGGTGATTGACCCCAGTTCTGGGATGAGTCAGTCCTGGGTACCAGTTAAATAATTGAAGGGAAGTCGGGAAACATACTTTCCTGGCTTGTGACTCCCAGTCGGCAAAGAGACTTAGGAGGCGGGGCTGCTTTATTTCAGGAACGGAGAAGAGCTGCCACACTGGACTGTTTGTGGAGGAGCTGTAGGGATCGGGGACACAGGGATGGCTTTCATCTCTGGTGTGAGATTGCGTTTCAAGCTCCTTTCGTGTGCACATGTGTGATCTCGTTGGGGCTGCCCAAGAACCTGTGAGGTGCTTTCAGCCCTGCGGCTGCCTGCTGGCGTTTCAACTCAACATACCTGCTGGAAGCCATATGCTCAACAACCCTGGCTACACCCCCTTCCCTCTCTGTTCCCTGGCAAGCTTGCTCTCCCTGCACCGTCTCTCACAAATGCCTCGTCATCTCCCACTTGCCCACAACAGACACCCATGAACCACCTTGACGCGTTCCACCCCCTCTGCCTGTCTTTGCCACCAAATCCTGATCACGTTACCCTGAAAGATGTTTTGTTTTTCAAGTTGTAAAATAAAAGTTATAGTGTCATCAGAGCCTGTTCACAGCTCCAGGAAGGATCAGCTCAAAGGTGATTCTCACGAGACGGAGGGCAGACGTAGTTCCATCTGACACCACTTCTCTCACCAGCTGTCCTTCCTACAAACAGAGGACCTCTCTTCTGGGTTCAAGAATTTGTAGTAGACATCTGTATGAACTCCCAATAAAAGTCGTTGGGGGAAAACAACCAATTCATGGGCACGGCCACAGACCATCCTTCCTGGGAAGTGGTTGATAAAGGAAGCGGGTCAATTGAAATCAGGATCCATGGGCTTCAATGTCGGATCAGGATCAGGAAGCGTGTAAGCAGAGATCCCCATTTTTAGTGCATGACAGTTCTCTCGGCCCCTCTTGGCCGTGCAGGCCTCCTGTCAGCTCCCTGAGAACAGACTCCTCTTGGCCCTGCCATTGGTCGCTGGCTCTGCCTGTCTCAGACGCACACTGTTGTCAGTGCTACAGACCTTCTAGGAGGACTCTTGCCTCTCTTCTAATTTTCCCCTCTACTTTCTCCCTTCTGCTTCTGTCTACTTCCTCTCTGAGAAAGCTCTGTGGGGTTGGCTGCATATCTATACAAATGCCTCGAAAATGTCATCACATGACCCTCCCACCAAGGCCACAAACCAACCAAGGCTCTCCCAGTGGGCCATAGACACGTCATTTTCATGGTAGGGTATACAGTCACTTCATTTGCATAGAATGTTGACCAACCCCCACAAGTTGCATACTAATCACAGGGCAGGTTGCTGTCCAGGATCAGACACAAGCTATGAAACCACAAGCTGTTTACATTAGAACAGTGGTTCTCAACTTGTGGGTCGAGACCCCTTTGGGGGTCGAATGACCCTTTCACAGGGGTCGCCTAATTCGTAACAGTAGCAAAATGACAGTTATAAAGTAGCAACAAAAATAATGTTATGGTTGGGGGGTCACCACAACATGAGAAACTGCATTAAAGCATTGCGGCATTGCGGCATTAGGAAGGTTGTGAACCCCTGCATTAGATTATCTACTGAACTGTCTACTCTGATCCACATGGGGTTGCCATCCATCAGAATTGACCTGACAACAGCCAATCTGATTTAACATGCCCAAATCCTAAGTGTCTGGTTTAGCACCTTTTGAAAAAGCATCCTTCGGCATACGTGGTTTTCTCAATTGCCTCATATATTTGTGAAAGTGAGACATTGAGTCAGGAAGACGGAAGAAGGATCAGTGTCTTCGAACTATGATGTTGGCAACAATTCTGACGGTCTCATGGACTCCCGAAAGGACAGACGTATCTGTCTCGGAAGAATGGCCCTCAGAGGTGAGAATCTCACCTACTTTGAACGTGCTGTCAGGAGAGACCAGTCCCTGGAAAAGGACCTCGTGTTTGGTAAAGTGGAGCGGCCCCTGACAAGAAGGATGGACCGCACAGTGGCTGCAACAGTGGGCTCAAGCATAAGAATAACTGTGCGGAGGTCGTAGGAAGGACTGGGCACTGTTTCGTTCCGCTGTGCAGAGGGCCTCTGTGGATCGGAACCAACCTACAGCAACATGCACCTGCATAACCAACACCCGTGTCAGAATAAGAGCCATTCCCACCGCTCAGAACGCTCTTTGTGCCCTTGGTCCAGTCAAGCCACTCCCTGCTGCCACTGTTGTGAGATCTAGACCTGGGGATGTAGTGGGTTATGCATTGGGCTGCTAATCACAAGGTCAGGGGTTCGAAAGCACAACTGCTCTGCAGGGAGAAAGATGAGACTATCTATCCCCATGAAGAATGACAGTCCCAGAAACCCACGGGTCCACTTCTGCCTGGTTGCTATGAATCATAATTGACTCTATGGCAGTGAATTTGGGGGTGGTAGAAATGGTTAAGTACCATGCTACTAACAGGAAGTTGGACTGTTTGAACCTACTCAGAGGTGCCTCAGAAGAAAGTCCTGGTGACCTGCTTCCGGAATGTCAGCCACAGAAAATCTGCTTCTTCTCTAATACACGTAAGAACCCCGGGAGCCGGAGTTGACAACTGGTTTCATTTTACTGATGCGGCCTCTGAACTTCCCTGCATGTCACAATCACCAGGAGTCTGCGTGCATCGTGCTTGCCCTTACAAGATGAACCATGTCTTAAAACAACAACAACAAAACAGCTTCCAGTGGCTTCCCCAAATCCTGCAGAAACCCCTCTGACCCCTATCCTGCCCTCTGGCCTTGGGAAGGTTTGATCTCCGTCCCTGGCAGCTCACCTGCATCTCTCTAGAGTCCTGGCTGTGGCCGCTCTGCCTCCTCAGGTCATCTCCCAGGGCGGCCCCGTCTCCCTGCACGGCCCCCCCTCTCCTCACCCGCCCACTCAGGGCGCCAGTCTCAGGGTTCAAAGCTCCCTGCACTGCTCCCCTTTGTTAGGGCCCAGCCAGTCGCAAGGGCGGCCCCCCACCCCCCACCCCCGCACAGCAAGAGCACATCTTGTGTGTCAGAGCAGAACTGTGCCCCATTGGGTTTCAAAAGACAGTTTGTTGGCGGGTCCTCCACCGATCGCCCAGTTCGATCCACCCATCCTCCTACGAAGAGCTGCTCCGTCGTCACCGCGATCCATTTCGGAGCATTGTCTTCTGGTGTTCCTTGTGGTTAGCGTCTCATGTCTCCCATCGGCCCTGCCATGCCCCCGCCATGCCCCCAGGTCACCATGAATCTAATTCCTGTCTCTGCAGACTTCCTTATCCCGGGTTTCACATGCAGAGAGTCACGCCACACACAAACGGGGCAAAACCAAACCAACCGTGACCAGACAGACGCAGCAAAAGCTCAATCAGAAAGAGAGAAGTCAAGGTTAAAACGGAAACCACCGCAGAAAGGGTCAAAAGGAGCACCAAACGACAGGGTACTCTACTTTAACCAAACGGCTGCTCCCGTCACCGACTTTACCGTGATCTCTGTCTGACAGCAAGGCTGTCCACATCCTGAACCGTGGTCAGAGGGAATTCACTGGGGCTTCACCCACAGGTGGGTACTGCAAGTGCATTTGGGGCTTCTACTGTTCACAGTTTAGACCATTGTCCCAGGGGGATGTCATGGCTGTGACCTTTGGGGAATGCAAAAATGGACCAGTTTTCACTTTGCTTTCAGCACCCACAGTGGGAGTCCGCTCTCCACTTCACTCTGCATAGGCCGTTAGGATATCACCCAATAATCGCTTCCTCCCAGATTTTACCAGACTCAAACAGAATTTTATAACTCTAGTGGAATCGGCAAGCATACATTTGCATGTGATTTTCTCGGAACCACAAATCATTGGTGCTAAGAGCAGGGGCGTCTCATGGCTTTGCAAAGGGGTGGGCCAGCAACACAGATGCTGACAGACAAAAAGACTGCCTCTGGCTAAGGACAGAGAAGTCGACATTTCACTCATCAGGGGTCCAGGCATTTTCAAACCCCAAAGATGAACCCATTGCCCACAGGGTGGCCCTGCGTGCTACCGAGTGGAGCTGCTCACAGGCTTCCTTGTTGTCATCTTCCTGGAAGTGAGTGCCACGCCTTTAGGACAGTCATGGAAACATTTGGCAGGAAGCAGGTAGATGGGAGAGAAGGTAAGGGAAGAAGGTGGAATGTGTCTGGACCACCTGGAGACAGACTCAGAGAAGCAATATGCCCTGCAGGCCCAGCTTTCAGGGGAGGGAATGAGCTCCCCGCACTTAAATACACTCTTTCCTGCCTCCTCTCTTCAAGTGGCCCACGATCACCTGCTAGACTTTTGCAAGACTAATGATGAGACAACACCATTAGTCTATCAGTTTGTTGCACTGTGGTGGCTTCCATGTTGCTGTGATGCTGTGTGTCACTGGGATTTCATATACCAGCAGGGTCACCCACGGTAACAGGTTTCAGTGGAGCTTCCACACTAAGAACAGACGTGGAAGGAGGAATCAGCTGTCCGCTTCTGGGGGATTAGCCTCACGAAAACCTTAGGAATAGCAGCGGGACATTGCCAGATAGAGTGCCGGAAGATGAGTCTCTCTGGTTGGAAAGGACTCAAAATACTATTGAGGAAGATTTGTCTACTCAGAGTTACTTCAGAGAGGTGGATGGAGCTAAGGGTTTAGGAGCCTCGTCTGCGGATTGGCATGGCTCAGCACGAGAACCAGCTGCAAACATCCATCTGAGGCGGCGACATTAACAGCAATAATAATAACCAGCACTGATGAGCGTGTGCAGTGCCCTCCACCCTGGACTAAGCACACCAATGGTCCTGGAGATGGCGCGGGACCAGGTAACACTTCATTCTGTTGGACAGGGGCTACCATGATTTGGAGTTCACTCAACGTTGTCTTGGAAGAAGTACAGCCAGAATGATCTCTAGAGGCAAGGATGGAGAGACTTCACCTCATGTACTCAGGAGAGGCCAGTCCCTGGGGAAAGACATCATGCAGGGCAGCGAAAAAGAGGACGGCCTTGGACAAGATGGACCGACACAGGGGCTGCAAACACTGCACTCCAACATAAGAACAAACATGAGGATGGGATGGAGCAGGACAGGGCCGTGTTTAGTTCTGCTGTGAGTCACGGGGTTGCTGTGAGTCAGAACTGACTTAACGGAACCTAACAACAACAAAGCAACTACCCCCATCACCACCACCACCACCACACACGTGGTCTTTTTCCATGCCTACTACGGTCTTAGGCTCTTCTCCGGTGTTAACTTAGCTCTCGCACAAACCATAATGAGTCTGAATCACTTATCAGGTGGAAAAAGGGGCCACTGAGCCCAGTCACTAGCCCCGAGCCACCAGGTTAGTCAGGGGCTGGGCTGGGATCCACATTCAACTCAGTTGACTCTTGAACGTGTGCTCAACGACAGCGATCTCCTTTCTCTCTTAGGGTGCGAGATTTAAGTATTGTCCTATATTAAAGATGAGGAGCATGAGAATGGAGAAGGCCCTTCTGCTAATAATTGGGCTCTGTTAGTCAATGGGATGTCATATAGGCTTGACCAATGCCATTGTCCATAGCCCTGTTGGCCCAGGTATTTTATCCTCAGCCCCAAGTCCGAGTGGGGTTCTCTTTGAGGACTGGAATCATCTGCCACTGAGACGTCTTTTCTGCAATACGAGCAGCATCCAGATGCATGAGATGCATTGTTCTAGGCGGCCTTTGGTTGGGAGAGTGCTTTCTGAGGTGTGGGCTAGAGATGGGTCATCTAGAGTCTGTATCAACTACACGTTGGGTAGCGGGGAAAGGATGTCAATCAGAACTTTGGGAGCTTGCCATTTCTGTTCATGCGCTCATCACTGCCAATGAGCCTGGCCCTCTGCCTTGGCAGCCTCTTTTCCAGAAAGGGAATTCCCCATGGCAGCAGTCCTGGCTTGGTGAGGTGGTTGACATTTACAAACTACCAGGTAGAGCCACCTGGCCAGTGACTCCTGACGACCATTTCTCAAATGTCAGACCCTGATGGTTCATGCGCAGTCCTGGATAACCCAGGGGTCTCGGAGGATGCTTCAGGGAGGGAGCCCTACTGATAGATGGGACCGCTTTTAAAATGCTCTCAAGCATCTGCTTCTAATAACACATTAAGGAAATTCTCACAGCAACTATCATAGGATAGCCAGCTAGGTGAGAAAAGCCAAGAACTAAATGAAAGTGATTGTGATTTTTTAGAAATATTACAAAATTACATACATTCAGACGCCAAGATGGAAACCTATCATCTTGTTGATTAGTTAAACCCTGTGGAATGGGTCATGGCTTGTGAGATAGTTAAGGTTTATTGCGCCAACCTGGCCGATAAACACATGTGGGCTTAATTGAAGGGCGGAGAAATAAATGGCTCGGTGAGTCTTGCCTTTCTAGTTCTCAGGTCTCTTGCTTTCTGATGGTCGGACCAGGGTGCAGCTGCCCTAGCCTCCCTGCGTCAACTGGCAAGGCTCACTTCCTGCAAGACATCCCTGAGGAGAAGCCACATGGACCTAACCTGATGCAGCCCTGGGTGCTGGAGCAGCTGTGTGGAGACCCCTGCCAGTGCTGAGATGCTTACACGCTCACTGATTCGGCTTTCCTCCTGCAGTCGGCGTCATTGTGTGTGTTTGGAGGATTGAGGAGGACTTTGTAGATTGGTGTCAGACGATTGGGCTAATGTTGGACTTATGGGCTTGGACAGCACTGGGTTGGGATGCTTTTTTTTGAAAAAAAATTTATTTTTATTTTTAAGATTTAAAAAAATTTTTTGTTTTTCATTTTTTGGATGCTTTCTTAAGGTATGCTTATGCTTTATATAACACTCTCATACAGATGAGTTTCTGTGGATTTGTTTCCCTAGTTTACTCAGCCTGACACCCCTCACCCCCCCGTGTTCCTTTGTATTTGTCCTGGTGTCCACAGTGAGTCTGAATCATTGATCGCCAGAACTCCCTCACAGCTTTCATCTGCGGGTTGCTGTTGAGTTGATTTGGACGCATCGTGACCTTATAGGACAAAGTAGACTGGCCTGCAAGGTGCTCAAGGCTGTAATGGTTACAGAAGCAGACGGCTGAGTGATTGGTGGGTTCAAACACCAGCCTTCTGGCTAGCAGCTGTGTGCTTCGACCACTGTGCTGCCAGAGCATGCCCCCGTCACTTTACATGGAAGACAGGTGAATGGGGAGGAGCAAGAGAAGAAAGACAAGAAGGCAAAGGAAAGAGGAAGAAGAAGAAGATGAGGAGGAGGAGGAGGAGGAGGAAGAAGAGGAAAAGACCAGTTCTTTGGATGGAACCCACGCAGCCACGAACCTTACCAGAACTGTTGGGCTTTGTGAAATAATGTAACATAAAACACCTGGGGTGGGAGTTGGTACATGTACGTACCTTCAAGTCGGTTCCAACCCATAATAACACCATGAACAACAGAAAGGAACACGGCCCGGTCCTGCTCCATCCTCACAATTGTTCTTATGTTTGAGCCCATTGTTGAGGCCACTGTGGCAGACCAACCTGCCAAGGGTCTTCCTCTTTTTTGCTGCCTCTCTACTTTACCAAGCAGGACATCTTTTTCCAGGGACTGGTCCATCCTGATAATATGCCCAAAGCACGTGAGACAAAGTCTTAGCATCCTTACTTCTAGGAGCACTCTGGCTGTACTTCTTCCAAGCCAGATTTGTTAGTTCTTTTGGCACGTGTTTGGTACTTTCAGTATTCTTTGCCAGGGCCATAATTCAAAGGCATTGATTCTTCTTCAGCCTTCCTTATTCATTGTCCAACCTTCATAGGCATATGAAGCAATGGAAGATACCATGGCTTGGGTCAGATGCATCTAAGTCCTCAAAGTAGTATCTTCACTCTTCAACACTCCAAAGAGGTCTTGTGCAGCAGATGGACCCAAGGCATTGCACCATTGGATCTCTGGACTGCTGCTTCCATGATCACTGATTGTGGATCCAAGCAAGATGACATCCTTGGCAATGCAGCTTGGATAGCCATGCATTAACATGACCCACCTTTCAGAGACCCTGAGGCACAGAGAAGTTCAGCAACCTGCCTAAGGGCAGCAGCTGGTGAGTGGCTGAGTGGTAAGTGAGATGGAGATGGAGACTCAGGCTGTGGAGCCCGGAGAACAGAGCCCAGTGCACAGGCTGCGCCCCTTCTCCTTCTAGCTATTGGATTTCCCTGTGACCCTGAGGACACACCCTCCAACTTGACCTTTAAGGGGCCAAGTTCCTCGAGGAGAAGGGCAGTCTCCCGGCCCATGGCTTTCTCTGCCTCGCCTCAAATTAAGGGCAGTGTGATGTAGTAGACAGAACAAGTCCCTACTTCTTGGAGGCTTGGTTTCCTGATCTGCAAAATGGGGCCACAGATGTCTCTTCACAGAGAGCTTAGTAAGCACCCGTAAGGAGGAGCTGTGGCTATATCTGGCACAGCCTGGCTGTATCTGGCACAGCTTAGGAAGCACCAGTGAGGGGGAGCTGTGGCTGTATCTGGCACAGCCATACTGGTCAAATGAACCTGCCTTCTTTACCCAGCAAACTTCCTGCCTTCTTTGCCCAGCAAACTCCCACCCACGTTCCCCGCCTCCACTTGGGAGGCCTGCCCTGTCTTGGAACTGAGTTCAGGGCATCTGCTGTGCTCCCTAGAGTCTGGTGGTTGTGGGTTTCTTCGTCTCTCCACTGAAGGATTTATCCACAGGCTCCCATCGCGGTTGTTTGTTGACTGCTAGTCAACGGCGACTCATGGTGATTCCATGTGTGCAGGGACGACCTGTGCTCTGTAGGGTTTTCACTGCGGTGACAGGAGCAGGCCACTCAGCCTGCCTTCTGAGATGCTGCTGGGTGGGTTGGAACCACCAGGAGAGCCTATGAAAGGGTCTGTCTGACCCAGGACGCTGGGGTCTTCCCCAAGAACAGGAGCCATGTCTGACCCACACCTTTTGATAGTTAGGTTTGTGTCAACTTGACTGGGATAGGAGTCTCAATCGTTTGGCAGGTGAGCCCTGCCACCCCATCCCCATGATTTGACCTAACATGATGCCAACAACCCAAGCAGATGTGGGAAACTAGGGCGGAGTGCAACCACCGTACTTGGATCATGTTTCCCGAGAAGTGTGCCCTATTTGGAGGATAAGTAGACTTGGTGGAGAATTCCTTCACTTCTTCAGCAAGTGGTCTGGATCCTGCATCTGGCTCATCCCCTTCTGGTTCTTGGGACGTGAGCCAAGAGCTTGCCATGTTGCTTGCCAACCCTGGTAGCCATCAGAGCCTAACATCTGAACTGTTGTTCTGGATTCTTCTGCCTCTGCATCCACCAGCCATGGTCTTTCTGCTTCATCTTCCTGTTTCTTGGTTCATTTGCCCTGGAAACTACGTAAGCCAGGAAAAACTTTCAGCTAAACACCTGAACCATGGACTTGAACCAGATCTATATCTATATTATCTAGCTAGCTAGCTATCCTCTGTTATCCACTCTACCCTGTGCCTAGCTCTGTGCTTGCTTTGGGGTAGTAGCTACTGAGCATGGATGAGTGGTTTGTCTTACTGCTCGGCTCTGCTGGGCATTGATTTTGAACCTGAACAATTCCCAATGTGGTGTGGAGAGGAGAAATCACATTGCCTGCTGCGCCGAGGACACAGGTAATCTTCAGGGAGTGGGAAGGCCTGGAACAGGAGCTTGAGACCAGGTGGCTTTGTCATTTCCCAGGGGGATGACTTCAGGAAGTCCCTGAATCTCTGAGCACCAGTCTCTGAGTCTGTAAAAACAACAGCACTTCCTCCTGGCATGGATAGCAAGTAAATAGTGTCCCCCACACAGTAGGTTCTCAATAAGTGCTAGCCTTACAGTGGCATGTCCACTATATGGGTGGACTTGTATCCTCACAAATATGTGTTTGTAAATCCTAACTCCAACAGCTGTGGATGCCATCCCATTCCGGCAGGGGTAGAGTTCTGTTTTCTATGATAGGGGGGCCAGAAACCTCAGAGGGTAGGGTGTATCTTCATCTAGTTACGTTCACAGTATAAAAGGTGAAGATTTGGTGTAGATAGAAGCAAGCACAAATGTAAGGAGACAGATGCCATACCACATGAGGGTCACCACAGCAACTGAAAAAGAGGTGGAGACTTTTCCCTATAGCTGATGGGAGGTGGGGGGAGAGAGGGAGAGAAGGAGAGAGAAAGAGAAAGAGAAAGAGAGATAGCATCTTCCCCTAGAGTAAGGGCCCTGAATTCAAACTTCTACCTTCCTAAACAGTGCTTGCTGAAGCCACCCATTGGGGTACTGCTGATAGGGGAGGACTAGATGACTCAAACACCCATCAACACTGTCAGCCCGCATCGGTGATGGAGAGGTAGGATGGCGTGTTGGTCTGGAGACAAAGGAATGTCTTTCTGACATCGCAGGAGACAGTGAGGCAAGCTTAGCTGTGGGCAGTGTGTGGCTTCCCCGCATAACTCATCAAGGCAGTGGGGAAATCCGAGGTGACAGAAGAAAGGATTTGAAGATAATTTCCCCCCACAGTGATGAATATTTTACCGACCTCTGGCTCTGCTGGATTGGAAACCAAACGAAAGAGCCGTTTAAGATCTGAAGTCAATTGAAATGACAACTTGCGATGAGATGACTTCAGCTGGGCCCAGGTGCCCGAGGTTGGGAGTGAGCGACGGGGAGGCTTCCAGTAGTTGTTGCTTAGGCCGTGGTGCCCTCCCGCTGCCCTCCCGTGGAACTCAGGGTTCAGAGATGAGCGGTTAATGTATCGCATGTGTATTCTAAGATGCTGTAAAAATGGCCTGACCTGTCATCCTTTTAACTCTGAAATAGAGGACGAGAAATGAGAGGCAGACAGAGCGCAGGAGGGGCGGGAGGAGGGCTAGAGGAGCTGGGTTTGAGACCGAAGCTGGGATGTTGGGCAAGGATTTCTACTTGCCAAGCCAGTTTGCTCAACTGTAAAAGGTGAGGATGAGAAATGCCACCAGGGAGTTTTGTGAGGGGGGTCTCTGGCCACTTGACTGCTAACCAAAAGGTTAAAAGTTCGAGCCTACCTAGAGGAGTCTTGGAAGAAAAGCTTGGAGATCTACTTCCAGAAAGTAAGCTGTTGAAAGCTCCCAGAGCACAGTTCTACTCAGAGATAGTTCAGGTTTTGTGTCAGTTTGGCTGGGCAAGGATGTGCATAGGTACGGATAAGAGATAAGAGCTCACGACACACGGAATCCATAGTAATGGGAGTAGCGATACCAGAGGGTAAGGGGAAGGTGGGGAAAGGAGGGGAGGAAGGGGGAACTGATCACAATGATGGACACACCCCAATCCTAAGGGGGACAGACAACAGAACCATGGAGGAAGGGAGGCAGTGGTCAGTGTGAGATATGAAAATAATAATAATTTATAATCTATCAAGGGGTCACAAGTGGGGGAGAGGGGAAAGAAGGGGAGGAAAAGAGGAGCTGATACCAAGGGCTCAACTGGAAAGTGAATGTTTAGAAAAGAATGATGGCAACCTATGTACAAATATGCTTGATACAATTGATGTATGGATTATTATAAGAGCTGTAAGACCCCCAATCAAATGATCTTTTGATTAAAAATAAATAAATACATATATAAATACATATATTTATCCAAATTAAAAACAAACAAGCACGATTTGCAGCTTTGGAACCCTTGCGTGCAGTGACCTTGAGCCAGAGTGAGCTTGATGGCAGTGGGCGATCCCCCATGATGAGCTCTAACAGAACAGCATCACTTCCATAATGAGATGCCGCCAATCAATAGAAAGGAAGTTTCCTCCAGAGTCTGGCTTGTTTCCAATATAAGTAGATGCTGCAGAAAAGCTTTCTTTCCTTTTTTTCTTTGTCTGGATACTGCATCATCCTTGATGTTTGAGCTCCTGTGCTTTGGACTTGAGCCAGATGCCTGCCATATTGCTTACCAAGTCCCGAACATCAGCAGCAGCAGCAGCAGCAGCAGCAGCAGCAGCCTGGTATCTTATCTGCTGACCTTTGATTCATCTGCCTCCGAAGCCTACCTTCCGGCCTGCCTATCTGGGGTTCATCTGCCTCTATGTGAGTCAGGAAAAGCATCCAGCCTGATATCTGAGCCACTTGCCTGCCTCCATAACTGCGTGAACCATCCAGGTAAACCTCTCTGTATACACACACATAAGAGCTCGTCCCCCTTTTTATTGCTTCTCTAGAGAACTCAGCCTAAGATCTATTCTGACAAGCACGGGTCATCGTGAGTCAGAGACAATGCCACAGCAATTGGTTTTCAGGGTTGTATGAGGGTGAGGTGGGCATACAGAGTCCTGTGCAGGAGCGGTGGGTGCCATGTAGGCTTGTGACTGGGGCTGCTGGAAGATGGGACACCTGGGAGGGACCCTGATGTCTGGCTCACCCAGACTTGCGCATAATTACTGGGCGAGGCTGGGTTTGGTGTGAGTTAATTAGATCCAGTGATCAAAAAGACTGCTAACCAAGTCTACAGAGCAGTTGGAAGGAGCAGATGGAGGAGTTAAACAGCCCCCAATAGGAATGGCATGTTCTGTCTTAGAGATCTGAGATAGGCTCTCCATTTACCAGGTGGTCTCGGTGGGTACCAGAGCATGGATGCTTGACCTTCCTTTTGTGGATGCGGCAGGCCTCTATGTTCTGTGTAGAACACGAAACTCCTTGTCTTTCATGTTCTTGGCCCTAGCCAATTCTGGCTTAATTTCCTACCTCCACCATCTTCCTTCTTGATCCTCATCAGTCACACCAGGCTCCTCACTGCTTCTTGCACGGGCCAGCATGGGGTGGCCTCAGAGCCCTTGTGCTGGTATAATCTGCCAGACCGATCCTCCCCTTCATTGAAGTCTCTGCCCAAATGTCAGTTCCGTTGAGAAGCCAGAACCAAATCCTCCAAATACATCACGTTAGAGTCAGTTCTGATGCATAGCTACACTGCAGGAGAGAGGAGAACTTCCTTATAGGGTTCCCAAGCGTGTGAATCCTTACGGCTGCTCATCTTTCTCCCACAGAGTGGCTGGTGGGCTTTGAACCACCAATCTTCTGCGTTAGCAGCTGAACACTTTAACCACTGCTCCGCCATGACCGTGTGATCACCCACGTTAGATAGCTCCTCTTCCCCCATTCTTCGCCTCCTCCAGCTCCGCGACCATAAGGACACAGGGTTTAGTTCTCTGCGCCACCCCCTCTGCCTGAAAGAGTACCTGGCACACATTTAAAAAACAACAAAAACAAAAAAGCCCGTTGTCCAAAGCAAATGAGAAGTCCCCTTCTGACTTAGGATGGCAGAGAAGAGCTGCGAGCTTCATTGCATCTTCAAAGGCTGATTTCCGGAACGTGATCGCTGGCCCTTTCTTCCGAGGCAACTCTGGGTGGACTCTGAGCTCCAGCTCTGTGGTTAATATCTGAGTGAGGGAGCCATGTGTACCACCTGGGGATTCACCAGCTCATAGTCACCCCACTGTCATTGAGTTGTCCCTAAAGAGCCACCCCATAGGGGTTCTGTGGGTGCCAATCTTTACGGCAGGAGACTGCCCCCCTAGCACATAGTAAGGGCTCAATAAATGTGTTGAGTTAATGGGCGTGCAAATGAGAAGATTCTTTGCTGCGCACACAAAGCCTGCACCTGTCTCCTGAGTCTGTTGGCCTTCTCCTGTCCATCACTGTTACCCTGGGGACCATCACCCCATGATGCTGAGGATGAGGGTGTTGGGTGCCTGGCAGCAACATGCAAGCTTCCACTGACAGAGGGGTTGCATACGAGGTGCTGTAACTAAGAGTCCAACCCCAGTTTCCCATGTGGAAAGCGAGAACTCTGCCATGGACTCCCCAATGTCACTTCTAACTCAGTGGCCAGCACTTTGCAAGCATGGGAAGTAGTCACTGGATTGGAATTCTGATCTTGTTACCCTGCATGTACTCAGGGATGGGCAGTCAGTCCCTTCCTTTAGGGGCAGCATTTAGGGGTAGCTATGGCTGGCAGAGGAGACTGAAAAGGAATTAAGGGTCTCAGGCAAAGCGGAGTATTTTCTTTCCTTAGGAAGATAGCATGGATCCCTGTGAAGAGTCAGTAAACCTCTGCTTTATCAATCACACTTCAGAAGGTGCCGAGTCAGAGGGGGGCCCTTGGGAAGGAGGCTCCTGGTCAGTCCTACCTGAATGAACGGGAAGAGGAGCCCAACGGCGAAGTTGGAGAGCCAGTTGACCGTGCCCGCGACGATGAAGGCAGCCGGCCGCTGGGACTGCTGGAAGAACTCGCCCGTCAGGATGAAAGGGATGCCACCTGCAGTGTCAGAGCCAAGACCTGGATTAATCACCCCCTGAGGGTATGTTCCCAGCTTCCCTCCCCTCGTACCAGCCTTTGAAGGTCAGCCATATGGCAGGGTATGCCCCTATCATGAGAACCAGCTCTGCTGGGTTGAGCAGTGGCATTGATAATGCCTGCTGGAGTTAGACAGCCTGTAACTTCTCACTGCATTCAAACCACTGTCAGTCCAGCCAACGAGAGTGTGTAGGTTTGGGATTATGTCAACCAGACACTCCTGGGTCAGGGTAGGGGCAGGGCCCTACCTGTCAATTGGCTTGCAGCCTGATGACACTTCCATGGTGTCATAACTCTTTTTGTATAAGAGTGAGAGACACTGGGAACCGCCTCTCTGCCTCACTGCCTTCTTGCTTGCTGGGACTCTGCCTGCCTCTAGGGGCAGTCTCACACGGGCTGCCCACCCTGAGAGCTGTCAATGCCCTGCCCTGTTTCCATCGACCTTGGATCCATGTGACGGCACCCACAGGCCTCTACTCTCCCTGCATCCTGCCTCACCTGTCTGGGTCACTGGCCAGCAACTATGTGAGTCTGAAGAGGGCCCTGGCTTGCCGCAGACTTAGGGACTTGCGTTGGGCTGGGCTGCCTCCTTGATACAAAGCTCTTTCCTATACATACATAAGTTTCACTGGGTTATTTTTCTAGACAACCCAGTCTAACACAGAGAGATGTATTGTCCTCTTCATGCCCTGCATGCCCTCTGCATCCCACTCTGAGCCACTAGAAATTGGATACAATAAAGGTACATTTGATTGATAAGGCAACAGACATTTATGGTATTTTTGCCTATACCACACCCACAGAAACAGCACACATATGCACATAGCTCCCATAGCATGCCTAGGACATAAACTCAAGCGGGCAACCGGGTAAAGCTAGCATGATCAGTGTGAACATATGGTGTTGACTATACTCAGTGTCAGGTATGCCCACTATTTGGTTGCTGCTGTTGAGCTAGCTGTCCATGTGCAGCAACGTCGTCCACAACAGAAGACAACATATCCCAATCCTGAGCCATCCCCAAGACAGGTTGAGGATCAGCCCGTTGGGTTCTCACTGCTGATTTTTGGAAGAAGATGGACAAACTGTTCTTTCCAGTCCATCTTAGTTTAGAACCTTCGCGGGAACCTGTTCGATATCGTAGCACCATTCACGTCTCTGTTGTGCACATGAGGGACATTGGCTGGGGATCAAACCTGCCTGGATCCCACATGAGAAGTGGGGATTCTACCACTGAACCAACCGCCGCCCTGTTCACAATGGAATCTGCAGAAGAACAGAACCAGGCAGGTGCTGGCTGCCCTATGCCCTGTGTGAGAAAATCGAGGCCCAGAGACTTGACCAAGGTTGGTGAGCAGTAGATTCAGAACTCAGGCTCAGGACTCTGACCCCGAAGCATCTGTTAATCCTTGTTTGCGGGAGCGTGGGAGTCCCTGCCTAAATGACTCTCTCTTTGTGTTTCATAACTCCCTTGGTCGATGTGCAGTGGGTCCCACCCCCAAGTCCTCCCTGGTAGCTGAGGAGTTCTCAAATGAGTCATTGAAGGCACTTCAGTGGGGCAATCATCTACTTTGTGAGACTGTGAAAATGCATGATGCTCATCGCTCCGGGCCTCCTGGTGCTGGGATCAATGTGGCTGAAAGCCTCAGACAGGCGTGTGGTGAAGTGAAATTTCTTAAACTGGCTCTTCGGTCCATCATTCCTTTGGTGATGTATTATAAATTCTAGCCTCTATGGCTGTGGTTGCAACCCCATTTAGGAGGGAGTCCTGTTATGTTGATGGACAGGATGACGGTAGGATGGATTCTGAGTCTCTACTTGTTGTTGTTGGGTGTCATCAGTGGGTTCTGACTCGTAGTGACCCAACGCACAACGGAACGAAACACTGCCCGGTCCTGCACCATCCGCACAACGGTTCTTAGGTCTGAGCACATTGTTGCAGCCACTGTCCATCCATCTCGTCTGGGGACTCTCTCTTTTTTCGCTGCCCCTCTATTGTACTGAGCACGATGTCCATCTCCAGGGGCTGGTCTCTCCTGACAACATGTCCAAAGTCTGGGAGACGAAGTCTCCCCATCTTGCCTTATAAAGAGTATTTCTTCCAAGACAAACCTGTTTGTTCTTTCGGTCCATGCTACTTTCAAGATTCTTCACCAACACCATCGTTCAAATACACTAATTTTTCTTTTTTTCTTCTTTTTACTGCCACAGAGTCTATGCTGGTTCATAGCAACCACATAGGACAGGGTAGAACTGCCCTCCAGCGCTTCTGAGACGGTAACTCTTCACGGGAGTAGAAAGCTCTATCTTTCTCCTGAGGAACGGCTAGTGGTTTTGAACTGCTGACCAATGCGCACCTTACACATGCATAGGAGGCTATTGAAAATGCCATGGCTTAAGTCAAGTGCACTTCAATCCTCAAAGTCACATCCTTGCTTCTCAACACTTTGAAGAGGTTTTGTGCAGCAGAAATACCTAATGCCATGCTATGAGGGTATGAACTAAATCACCAGCGATTTGTTTCCTTGGGGGTATGGCCCAAACCACATGTCCATCAAAGCCATTCCTCTGTGTATAAGGGCCAGCTTGGAAGCACACAGAATTCCCGGGACAATCAAGGGAGAAGAGCCTCCAATGATTTATGATCTCTGTCTGCAATTGTGGAGGCTGAGACCAGTGATCCAGAGGCTAACACATGGAGAACATAAGATGAATCAAAGGAGCCCTGCCAAGATAAGAGGCGGAGGCAGGAGACCAGGAGACAGAGCAGAGGAGCAGCCATGAGACTCTGAGGCTGAGGTAGAGTATCGGACAAGTTTCCTGGTCCATGCAGTAGAGGCCACGGGAGTCACTGATGGCTGAGGATCTGAGGAACTCGGCTGCTTGCTGAGGGGATGTGTTTATATAGACCAACGATTGTATCCTTAATGTTTTCTGATCCTAGTATTTAGTAACTTAGTGACTTCCCTGTGAAACCCTCTTGACAATAATAAACCATCGTGAGTTTTTTTCTGGGAGTTCTGTGTGGCCATTGCCAGGTCTTATCGAACCCAGCAGAAAAGTAGAGTGTTACGAACGGTATCAGAATAAGATAAAGACAGAGCGTGGAGGCGAGTTTGACCTTTGCTTCATGGCAATAGCCAGTGGGTTGTGTAGCCAGAAGAAGTCCAATGTAGCTACCATGTTGTTTTACTCAAGAGTGGAGAAGAACAAGAAGATGAGAGGCAAAGGTGAGCAGGCTCATGAAGCAGCCTCTTTGATACCAAGAGAGGAGGTTTGCTAGTGCAGGAAGCCACCAAGGGGTGCTAAGAACACCAGAGGCTCTAATCCAATCAATCTCCATTTGCTCAAGAGGATGGCTGTGTGGAGAAAAGACTGCAGGGCGGTAGGGGGGGGTGGGGGTGTAGGTAGCTCTGGGATAGAATGAGAACAGTGGAAATGGAAGGAAGGGGAAGAATGTGGGGACTGTCTACTCCATGAGGACTTCAGTATGACCATTGTCGGTAACCACAACCACCCAGCATTAAGACATTGGCCAAGACAACGCCACCAAGCAGCCTAGCATCCCAGATCTGGAGAACCAGAATGGTCATCCTTATCAGCACATGATGCTGCAAGCAAGTCTTTGACTCCACAAACTCAAGAGCAAACTCCACAGCGATGCAGAAAGAGCCATCTTTCCACACTCCACTTGACTTGAGCCCTTGGGGGCGGGCACCCTCTGCATTTGCCTGGGCTACTTGACTGGGAGCTGTGGTCATGAAGTGCTGTCCAGTCAGCCCTGCCCCATGGCAACCCCATTTTCCTCCCTAGTCCGTTTTAGCCCGAAAGCTCTACTGAAACAGGTTCAGCATCATAACAATACAAAAGTCCCTTTGGACAGATGAGTGGTGGCTACCCACGAGGTGGGCTGAGTGGGAATCGAACCCAGGCCTCCCACCTGGAGGACCGAACCAACAAAGCCCCTTTGACAAAGAGAATTTACTTAACAGAATGAAAAGCTCAAAATGTTCATTTTGAGAAGATTCTATGTACCGCCGGCTACCCAGGAAGTGGAGTCTCTGCACCTCCGAGGCATCGCTCAGACTCTGGGAGAACAACTGGCACCCAGTGAAATGGGTCACACCAGTCTCCAGGGTCGCCAGGGACAGATGCTTCCACGACCAGAAAGTGCTCCTGCAGTGGATACCACTGGGACCGTGTTGCTCTCCCAGGGGGTCAGTTCAAAGCTCGTCTGCAGCCCGAACTTCCACTTCCCTGAGCTCCTTAGCTGTGCTTCTGGGTAGATCAGTCCACACGCTCAGTGCTAGTGTAAGCAGCTCACATTGCCGTGAACAGTGGTGAGCCTGCCTCTCCTCCTGGAAGAGCCAGGGCAGTCTCCCCTTTCTCAGCGGTTGTCGCTGCTGTCTTTGAATCAGTTCCTACCCATGGCGGCCCCTTGAACAGAGCAGAACTGCCCCACAGGGTTTCCCTGGCTTCATCTTTTCTGCAAAAGCACACCAGCTCTTTCCTTCTATGGAGCCACTAGTGCGTTCGAATCACAGACCTTTCCACCAGCAGCAGGTGCCACTAGGGTTACAGGTGGTAGTGTCTTGGGATCCAGCTAGTTGAACGCATCCCCAGTCTCCTGCGGCCAGACATGCGGAGCGAAGCTCTCCACGCTTCAGAGGAGTGGAAGCCGAGCACTTCTAAATTTCCCAACCCGCCTGTGCCTTTTCCTCAACGTTCTCTTTGGGAATTCCTGGCTCCTGCCCACACTTGAAGCTTGCTGACGGAGATCGAGACTACAGCCTTCAGGATGGATTCCAACTCACTGTCATGACACCCAGAGTCCTCCCAGTGGACAGCCAGCCGCACGATAACAGGGGAAAGACGGGCTGCGGTCAAGGATGTGCTCTTGCTGGAGTCCACGGTCGATGCTTGCTTGGAAAGAGGGTCGCTGCAGGCGAAGCCCATTAGCA